AAAAAGGAGTATATATGCAAAGATGATGAAAATTAAAATGTAGTTTTTGATACCTCACATAGATCAGAAGCAAATTAAAATTTAAAGAAAAAAGATGAAAGTTGAAACAAGTATTAGAGATATATGCAAACATTCTGAAGTACACAAGTATCTTCAAAGTAAAAAGTATTTTCTTTAAGAATAAAGTTATATGAAAAAAATTTAAAGAAAAATCTTTTATGTCTCTAGACATAAAATCCTTTTTGTCTGAACATCTTTTCCCTTTCTTACTTCTCATGTCAGCCAAGAAAGATAACATCAGCATGCAAAGGTTTTTGTTCTAATATTGAAACAAATGCTTACAAGCATAATTTCTGGAATGCCAAAAAACAATGAGAATCTACTGCCCAACTTCTAAGCATTCATCTGAATTAAAATAATGTCTAACTGTGAAAACTTTTTAAAGGATTACTCTACGTTTTGGTAAGTAAACCAACAAGCAATAGCAAAGAATAACATTATTTGTCATGATTGAGTTAAAGAGAATTTGTCTATCCTTACTGATATTTTCCACAATCCCAAACAGTTAAACAAATACAGCTGGGAAGACAAAATGCTTTCAAGAACTCAAGTAAATCTCAGAGATGATAATTCACACTAAAAGTTCCTGTAAAACAAGAGTTTAAGGATTACCAATTCTTTCAATCATTTGCAAAAGGGATGTTATGAACCTCTCTAAGAAAACTACACTCAAAAACCATTTTTGCACATATTTTCAGGAAATTCACTAAGAAGGGATCATTAGTGCAGAACATATATTTGAAATGACATACATTTGCAAAAGGAACTTTCTAACAAATGATTAATAGGAATCGGCTCTTAGTTTTCATAGTAGATTTACAATTTACAAAGCACTTTTTACAGTCAAGCTACTAGACAATGATGTTAAGTGTGAAAGAGGCCCAAACAGTTATTATTCCTGTTTAACAACTGTGGAAATTGAGGCACAGATTTAATGACTTGCTGAAGTATCTGGCTAGTAATTAGATATATTAAAATGCAACCATTTGATTCCTTATCCAAAACATTACCGCTGCTATAAAGAAAAATACTAAGAATTCTGCTCCTGGCACACAAAATCAGGCATGAGATGGTTGGGGGAATTCAATATATAAACCCTATTTGTCTCATTGATAAATACATCATTTCTTCTTGATACTGTTTTAAGAAAAGATAATTTTTTCAAATAACTGATTTATCCAAACCTGTCTACTACATTTAATGAGCATTTTTGCTGTGTGGTTTTATGTCTACATTTTCTTCTGTAAATACAATCTTTCCTTAATGAACATGGGTTCAGCTAAATATTTACTACTGCATTATATTATAATACAGCATGAAGTTATGATCTTATGATGTCCTTGAATACTATTAAAATGAAAAAGATAGTCTGCCCCTGCTTTTTGATCCCACTGTGCTAATGGTTGCTTTTGTTTGTATAGTTATTTCAGCTTCTGCTTTAGTGTTAGCAGTATATTTCTCCTGCTGTCATTACTAAGCTTCTATAATAACACCCCCCACCCTCCCCACCACTAATTTGCTTCTCCTAACTTGCCAGGTGGACGGGGAAATCAGAAAATTAAGTTTTATTAGAATCTAAATTCTCTATTCAGTAAAGAACCAAAAAATAATCCACATATTCTTATCTTTAGTGGTCTTTGTCTTTGCTTTCTAATGTTCAATGATATGTGGGTTTAAAATAATCAAGCTTCAATTACATTTTATAGGGCAAACCAAATGTTTATCAAGATGTGGCTGCTCTTTGAATAAAAGACCATCTTCTTAACAAAAATTATCTTTGGTTCCCAACACAAAACAATTAAAATAGGATCCTATTTTGATGTTTACAGAATAGTGAACCAAACATTACATTTAATTTTCTCAAAAAGACAAACTGAGGAAAGAATAAAAAGGACTACAGAGTGAATAGAACATTTCCATTTTGCTTGTTTTTTATAATCTGTTGAATCATGCAGTAAGTGTAAGTGACCCAAAGGAAAATGATTTTTTTTTATAGGCTAGGAAACAGGACACTTCTATCATATAAAAATCATCTATACACTAGTCTTAAAATATTAATCATATTAAAGATATGCTTTATAATTTTAAAGAAAAATTAATGCAAAATAAGAAGTCAACAATAGAAAACACCTTATTTGAATATAAAAATTTTTTCCTACCTAAGACTCACAGAATATTGATGAAATCCAATCCAGTACTAGATTAACTGAAGTCTCATGTTAACAATCACTATATGACTGAATATCAAAAGTTACGACATATAGTCCAAATAAGATTAAGCCCATATTACTAGATTAAATGTTAATACAAATGTTTTTCTGTTGGTATCATATAAGAAATTAGGAATTCAGATATTTTAACCTTTACTATTGCCAAGTTTCATAATGGCACAATTAGAATATCTCTAGGACACTTAACTATTTAATCATTTTCTTCCACATTAAGGACATGGTACATTTGAGTAGCATAACAAACTGGTCTGCATAGAAGTAACATCACTATTGAAGCATTTACCATATGCCAGGCACTGTGCTAAGTATTTTTCTATCTACTAACTTCTTTAATCCTCACAATCACCCTATTATCTCCACTGCAAATGAGGAAGCTGAGCGAGCCTTAGAGAAGGTTAAGTGGCTTTCTGACAGTGACAGCCACAGTGGAACACATACTACAAGGGTGTGTGACTCCATGTCATTATATTAGATTACCTCCTATTTTAGTACAAAGTACATTTCCTAAATTCTATCCTCTCATACTACCAACCTCCTTCAGCTTAAAAATAAAACAAAAAGAAATCACTGGGAAACTCAACAACACCTACAAATTTATTAGGATAAAATGTGTTTGTGGGTTACATACAAGCATATGAACAGTCAATCAATATCTAGTTTTGCTGACACATTTCAGTAGTACAGTATGTACAATAGAATAGATAGCTTAGAAAAATTTTTCTTAAATTGCCCAGAAAGGAATATAATAATTAATGTTAATAAAACAAATCTTTACCAAGTATCTGAGGTTCTACATAATTTTGAAGTACAAACATATCCCCTCCCATTATCTCCGGTCTTAAAAAGAAAAAAAAAAAAAATCCCTAATAAAATTTAATGAAAACCAACTAAATGTAAATTCTCCACACATTTAGGCAGTTCACATTTGCTTTCTAACATAATAAAACTCAAGGAAAAATAGTCCCTATAAGCTTTCATTTGGCAAAAATATATTTTTAACAGCCCATAGATAACTACATTTATCCTATCAAAGGGCACAGAAATTTTTCATTCATTGTTTCTTATTAATTTTCAATGATTTGTTTTATAAAAATAAGGAAAAACAAAAGCTGAACTCTGGAAAAATGAGGGCTCATATTAGTCAAAGGTATACACTGAGAAGCAAATAAGACTTTCCACATAGTTTTTCCTAAAACAGAATACCTCGCATTCCCTGTGAAAAGAAAATGACATTTTAAAAAACAACGACAAAGATTTACTATAGTTTTTGTACTATATTTTCAATATTTACATTTCAACAATATTTAGGACATCATTATTTTCTATCATAACATGTTCACTCTTAAAATTTGCTAAAAACAACTTTAAAACTTATGCTGCATTTTAAAATCCAATTGTTTCTTACATGTTTTGAATATATCTCACATGACTTGTATGAGAAATCACAAAAAGCATTTCAGACCTTTTATAAAGAACAGAGTGATACCCATGACAAAGTTTAGAGTGAATTACTTACTATATCGCCAAATTACAGTCACTTAAGGAATAATCAGCTCTCAATGTCTAGGTTTTATAGATTGCTATTTCCCTTAGGTAGTAAAGGTTATTTCTTTTTGCATTCCCATTAGAATTTAATTTTTGTTAAAGATACAAGAGAATATCATAATATGAACTTTAAAAATTTCTGGGTAAAAGTAGAATTGAGAGAAAAAGCACGTGCCTTGTTTCAGAAATCCAACTTAAATTTTAATAAGAGACTATACCTTACTACCTAGACTATAAATTTGAAAACTGAAGATATAAATTTAAATTAAGGAAACCAGGGTGAAACATTAAAAAAAAAAGTTATGGTGCTATCAGAAGACTTCATTCTTCAACTTCAATTCAAGAAACAGCTTCCATAACAACAACAACAGAATAAACAAACTATTCTAGGCAGGAGAAAAGAGCAAGAAAGAAGTCTGAAGTAAACAAAGTCCAACACACACTAGCAATATAAAAATCATCTATCAAATATTGCACAATTTTCCATAAACCTGAAATAAATAAGCTATTATTTCAAACCAAATACTATCATTGTTATCATAAGGAGCAGCGTATACTTGCTAATGGATACTAAAGGTCACTGTAAACTACACACCTCCATATAATAAACTTCAAAAAAACTGAAGTTACAAGAAAAGAATTTTCTCTTAACACCTGAAACTTGAGCAAGTGAAAAATAAAAACAGACAAAAAAGGAGCCACGAGTGCATAGAGTTAAAAGTAATATTTGGGGAAATATCATAAAACAGTTTGAGTAATATAATTCTGAAAGTTCAGTGGTACACACACTATATAAAAAAAAACTGAAAATGGTTTGGTACCATAATAAAATTCTACATTTTATTGTTGATATTGTTGTAACAAAAAGGAAGAGGACCAATTTTCGTTATTCCTGGTAAAAACATTAATAGGTGGCAACTGACTTTAAAACAGTGAAAACCAACAAGAATAAACTGATGCATTCCAACAGTACAACTAAAAAAATATTTTCTTGGTGTTCATACCAAAATCTTCTTTAAGATCATCATCTCCTTCTTTGTGGAAGTTTATTTTAATGAAATAGAAGGGGAGATATTAACACTCAGGATATTTTAATAAGTACTGATTAATATTACCAAAAATTATAGTGAGCCTTGGGAAAATCTCTCCCTGTAATTCACTTACCTCCACTGACTGCATCTTGCTCTTCACCTTCAGGAAATGCAACCTGGTTTGGCAAGCTATTCCTAGATCGAGTGACGGTCTCTAACTGGGAAGCCCGTCCCAATAAAGATAGCTCATCTAGCACCTCTCCCTCTTTGGCCTCAAGATCTGATTTTGAAGTGGTTAAGGGTTTTATATTTTCAGGTGCCATCAACCTGTTAGAATCATTCAAACATGCCACTGTGCCACTGTCCAAGCTCAACACTCGTGCCCGAGTCTTGGCACTATTTGTGCTGGAAGTCCGCCGTGTTGTCCTCTTTTTGCCAGTTCCTTCAGGACCCAGATGAGCTTTGTGTGTGTTTTCAGAGTCAGGGCCCCTTTCTTTAGGGACATGTTTGGTCTTCAGAGTACTGTATCTGCCCTCAGGAGACTGACACGAATGAGAAGTGGTGCTAGATGAGCTATCGCTGCTGAACTGGTGAGCAGACTGAACACTGGATGCTCTGCTCAAGTCACTTTGGTCACTAGAATCCTCATCATGACAGAATATAGCACTATGTGGCTTGGTGCCAGAAACACCTCGAAATGAAACATAATCTTTATGCCGACTTGAGTCAAAACTGCTGGCCCGCTTTTTTCCTGTCCGTCTCCTCCCAGACTTATGTGAAGAAGTTGTCCGGTGGATTAAGCTTGAGGATTTAGGGCGTACATCCCCTTCCTTTTGCTTTCTATCACCATCTTTACCAATTATTGAATCCACTGAAACAGCTGACTTATCACTCTGCTCTTCTTCCTTTTCAGCAGTTTTCCCCAGTGGTCTGTCCGCCTGTGAACTAAATTCATTTGCATGGGGGTTTTTATTGACTTCTTCAGATGCAGAGGTGCTGAGACCTCTCTGATTATGCACGTCATCAGAAGCATTAGAATCCTTGGCCTCCTGAACCCCGCTATTTGTACTCACTTCCAAGGCAGTCTTTTCACTACTAGTCCGTTTGTCACTGGTACAGCTACTCTTGTCCTCAGAGTCAGCACAGCATTCCTTTTTCCTATCACTTTTCTTTCCTGTTTTAGGAGACTCCTCATGCTCTGACAAGATGCTCTCTATGTGTGTTGAGCTGGTCTGTTCACTTTTATAGCTGCTAACAGTACTGTTAGTGTCACGGTCCGTTCCACTGCAATAACTCTCTGTTGACCCACTACTCCTGGTGCTCAGGCTCCTCAAGCTGTCCATACTTTTGTCAGCTTTCAAAGGTCTGCCCTTTCCACTTTTTGTAGGTGGCTGAGAATGACTGCTTTTCAACTCACCAACAAGCTGAAATTCCCCAGATAAACAAGAATTTTCCACCAGGGATTCCTTGGATCCAGAATGAGGCTTAGAAGATTCTAACTCACTCACTGGATCTAACCCACGTCTTTGTTGATACAAAGGGAAGTCATTCAGTGAAGTGTCTGGAAAAGCCACAGCAGAGCTAGAAGTCCGTGGGACACCCCGCGGCCGGTGTTCCTTCCTGTATGAGTGTGAATGTAAAGGGACAAGAGAAGCAACTTCTGTGTCACAGGCACTGGACAGAGACTGATCGACGTGGTGGTGGTGGCTGTGACTTGGCAGGCTCACTTTGTCACTTAAGTCCTTTGGTAAGTCCTGTCCACAAGAGGATAAGGAAGGCTGAATGGAGATGAAGGAATCATTGGAGACCAGACGGAAGAGCCTCCGATCAGTTGCCAGATCTGTTTCAAACACATATTTGGAAATGTTACCACAAATCGACAATCTGCTTTTCTACTGTTTACAATGGAGAGAATTCACAGCACGCAGTAACTCAAGTAAAACAATTTCTCAAGAATAATAGCTAGCCAATTATTCTAAAAGGTTGGGTTCTATTTCACAGCTACACAAAGAACATATTCTAACTGATGGACTGATGTAAGCTTTCAAATCTCCATTGACCTCAGCAAAGGTTCTATAGATTTTCAACAATACAATAAGAAACAACAAAGGCTTATATTTTAAATGGACCTGTACATTTCTATGAACTGTTTTTAATTCACTAACTGTGTAACCCTAGGTTACCTAAGTCTCTATTCCCTCATCTGTAAAATGTGCTATCAATCTCATTGAGTAGTACCATGGAATAACTGAGTTAATGGCATACACTGTTTAGCACAGTGTCTCACACAATTATTGGTAGCTATCATTATTTTAATCTAACAAAATAAAAATATCTTTTTAAAAAACTAAAAGGACTAACTTACAATTCATCAAAAACCTAGAATAATCAGAAACAGAAAAAAAAATCAAAAGGCTGACTAATACTCTATAAGTTACTCTGCTATTCATAATGGTTAAAAAAATTAAAGCAATAATTATGAGGCAAAATGCTAATTTTCTCATTTTCGTTACTGATACAACAATTACAAAATATCTCATGGAAAAAAAATGTATTGCCTCCCTTTATCTGTAAAATGATTCCTATACTCCTACATTTAGGTCAGTGACTAGGGACTTGAGTTACCACATACACTGTGTATATAAATACAGACATAAATATACATAACCCATCCACCTACCTACCTACATTGTAATTTATCTTGAAATATAGCTTGACAACCAAACTGCACAAAAGCTGATTTTTTTATATACCCTTTGACAAGGCTGGTTGAATCTGCTGTTAGTTCAATAAAAAGAAAAATTATTACCCTTATTTATCATAACTACATAAAAAAGTAGACTCTACAGTAAGTCAGACATCCCAGTAAGATTTCAGTAAAAGCATACTTTTTCCTTAATAGCATAAAAAAGAATGAATTACTAAAAATGTACTATTTGATAAAAATGAAATATACATTTAAATTTAAAACTTAGAAATAGCCTCTAGAATGTACCATATAAATTTTGATCTATAAATAGCCCATTGGGCTTTACCTTATGTTTTAAAGTCTTCAAAATAAACAAAACCATGTTCCTTATCATTTGTCAAAAGTTGCCACTGTATTTGGATTTTCATATTCTCTAAAGATTAAAATTTTTAAAGTTAACACTGTATTTACTTTTTTGTATTATTAAATCATGTTATTTCTAAAAATTCTCAATAAATATCCTAACAAGGAATTATGGAATGGTATGATATTCACAGTTCAAGGAAGTAAACTTCACATAATAGAAACTTTGAGTTAATTGAAAAGCACTAATTTTAATACACAGCAAGACTTTTAAAAAATGCTAATGATCAAAATCAATCCCTTCCAAGACATAAATAAGGCAGAAATTAAATCTTTAAAGATAGACAACATTACTTTAATACATGCACAATGTTACTAAGTAAACATATCAAAAATAAACCCCCAATTTTTTTCAGGAAGAACTATAGGTAATTTTAGGACATTTTCAAGTTAATATTCTTCCTTAAACAGTTCTCTTACTGGCAACAATATAGTCAAAGACAGGCTCAAATCAACATAGGGATCCTATTTTTCTTTTTCTTTCTTTTTTTTTTTTTTTAAAGATTTATTTATTTATTTATACAAGCACTGGGTACAGTCAGAAGCACGGAAGGGTGAGAGAATTCACCAGAGCCAGAGCAGGGAACAGAACAGGCAGACTGACGAAGTACATTGCTGAGGGGAGCAGCGGGCGGCAGGAGAGGTCTGCGCGCCATGTGGGACCCTTGCCTGGTGGCTGGGGATCAAACAGGCGCTGCAGAGGCTGCGGGCAGCCTTGCAACCCAGTGCTCCACCGCTGCGCCACCAGGGAGGCCCGAGAGATCCTATATTTCATCTAACTGTTTTAAAGATTTATTTTTATTTATTTATGCATAAAAGAACTGGGGGATAAACCAGAGTTGCAGAGGAGTGAGAGGATTCACCAGAGACAGTGTAGGGAGCAGAACAGATGGATCTACTGAAATACACTGCTGAGGGGAGCAGAGGGCGAGAAAGGAGAGGTCTGCTGCTCCATGTGGGTTAGCTCCTTGGCCGGGAATCAAACTCAGGCCACAGAGGTGATAACATGATAGCACTGAGACTTAACCCCTATACTACCAGGAATGCCCTATTTAAACTTTTTTTTCAACTAGGCTATTAGTGGAACTTATGGTAAGATAGGCATGCTCACATACTGCTTGTGGTGGCACACAAACTGTTACCACCTTCTGTAAAGCAATCTGATGACACGGCCAAAAGTCTTCAAAAAGTACATTTACCCACAATTGGCAATTTATTAAAATATTTTTAGAAATTGTAACTAAAGGATAAAATCAGGTAAAGTTTTGGCAAAAAGTTCTCAGGTTGTTGTAAAATTTAATACAGAAAGTATAACAATGTCCTATAAACATTGGTTGAATAACTTATGTTGTTTATTAATAACATAACCCTCATTAATTATAATTGCATTATAAGATATTCTAATTATCATTTCTCACATATTCTTACAAAATGCAAATGTCTCCTTTATCATTTTTCCTTACCTCTCTCATCCCCTTTACATCAATTCACCAAGAGTAGTCCATACTCACTATTTTTAATTCTCTTCTTTTTTTTTTTTTTTTTTTTTTTTTATTTTTTATAGAGGCATGTTTTATTTATTTGTTTGTTTGTTGTTTGTTTTGTTTATACATGCACTGGGTACAGTCAGAAGCGCGGGAGGGTGAGAGAATTCACCAGAGCCAGAGTGGGGAGCAGAGCAGGCAGAAGGACCGAAGTACACTGCTGAGGGGAGCAGCGGGCGGCAGGAGAGGTCTGCGCACCATGTGGGACCCTCCTCCGGTGGCAGGGGAGCAGCCGGGGATCGAACCGGCGCCGCAGAGGCCGCGGGCAGCTTCGCAACCCAGCGCTCAACCGCTGCACCACCGGGGAGGCCCCTATTTTTAATTCTCTTCTAAGTATCGCTCATGTGTTTTCTAATCCCACTCCATTAAGATGCTTATCAAGGTCATCAACAACCTCTACACCATTAAATCCAATGGTCAAGTCTCAGTCATATCAACTGACCTATCAGCAACATTTAACAAAACTGATCACTCCAGTCTCCTTGAAACACTGGGCTACAACACTGTCTTGGTTTTCCTTTTACCACACCTGTTGTTCTTAGTCTCCTGAGCTTATTAAGTAGGAGTTGCTTGGAGCTCAATCCTTGGAACTTTTCGATTTTCTGTCTGTTTTTCTATCTCTTGCAGTTCCCTTCCAGTTTTCTTGTTCCATGATAATTAAAATTTAGAAATATTTGTAACTAGCTCCACCATCTTCTATGCAGATTTCATACTCATGTAGGAATGAGCTAAAGTTTTGATCTTGGGTAGGAAAGACAAAAGCGAGGCTGGAGGGGGAAACTAAATAATCCCTTCTCAGAAATGAAGAAAGCAAAGGACACATCCCACATCTTCAGTTTTCTCTGAATCATCCTGAATTATGTTGATAGTCTGAGTGCCAATCAACTAACTTGTAACCAACTAACTGAAGATCACTGTCCTATAAACGTAAACCAGCGAGAACGACAAAATGTAAGCCAAAATGAACTGCCACTAGGTGGTGCCAAACCACAGCCACGACTAACAGGGATTTGGATACAGGAGCCAAGGCACCTAACTGTGCAGGCTTGTCCTGTTTGAGTTTATAAAGGTAATAAACTCCATAACACAACCCTACATTTGACATGACTGAATTTTTTTTGGTATTTATGAAAACTCCTTAATTTCAAACTTCAATCCAGACCTCAGACCTGAAATCCACACATACCTATTTACTAATTATTGCCACTAGAGATTCTATCTAGGTATACTAGAAACTCATGCTTGATATGACAAAACCTGAATTCCCTATTGACCCTCCTCCAAGCTCTTCCTATTTTAAATCTGCTCCTTCTGTCTTCTTCCCTGCTGCTTAACCCAAAAACTTGAGTCATCAAGACTACTCTCTCTCACATGATATATCCAATTCTTACTAGCATCTGCTATACATACACCCACAGTCAGACTACCTCTCACTACCCTAATCTCTGTCCTGAATGATAACAATAATCCGCTAACTGAGCTCCCTGCTTCAGTCTTTGCCCCTCGATAGATTCGAAACCTAGTGATTCTGTTAAAATATAACAGATCACGATTAGTCTCTGCTTAAAATCTGATAGCAGTTTTTCATCTCTCTGGGAAATAAAGCCAAAATCTTTAAAATGGTTTATGAAACTGCAAAATCTGGCCTCTCACTTACTCTCTACCAGCAACACTACTTGTCAGAACTGACAGGCATGTTCCTACTTTAGGACTTTTGCCTGTGCTATACTTTTTTACGGAGGAAACCTTTCCCCCACCAAATATCCTAATGACTTGCTCCTTCACCTTCTCCAGGTCTTTGTTCTAGTAAGGCTTTCCCTTGAACACTCTATTTAAACTTACAATTTCCCAACCATTCTGCTCTCCCTCTTTTGTCTGTTACTACATATATGTGTATGTGTGTATCTGATTTATACTAGTATGATTTTACACTAACAGTATGGAAGTCAATGGGCATAGAAATTACTGCCTGTGTAGCTCACTGATTTATTTCCAGTACTTAGAATGGTGCCAGGCACCCAATGAGTACTCAGTAATATTTGTTAAATGTTAAATACGTGAGAAAATGTTTCATGATAGAAGCAAGTTGAAAACTAGTCATGAGCTACTTAACCAAGTGCTATGTTGTCAAGGGATATTTGGTCATTGTGTTAACATCACAGAGTTTAATTAAACAAATACAGAAAGTAGAGCCTGCTACATACCTAGGATATAAAGGTAAAGTCTGTAAGGACCACTGTCCTATATGTAGTTTACAGCTGATCAAAATGTTGTTAAGCAACACATGGCTGTAAAGTGAGAATAATGTTAACCTTAAATGCTGGCAGTGTCTATTACCTGGAAGAAACCATAGAAAAAATGCTTAGAAGAAAAGTGAACCCTGGAGTTGACAAACTAAGGCCAAGTTGGTCCTCTACCTGTTTTTGTCCATTCATTGTGTGTTGCTTCTGTCTCCTTTCACCTCTGCAATGACAGAGCTGAGTAGCTGCAAAGGAGACCATGTGGCCTATTGTTTATACAAAAAGTTTGCTAACCCCTAAGACATCATTAACTCAGTGAATGTTAGACATCATTATCTATATCAATATGTATCTGGCAAGTATAAGTTTGTGTGTATATAATTTTCAACTTGCCAGATTACAACCTCTTGCTTGTGCATGCAACTTCCCAGATTACAATAAAGAGATATGTGACCTCCTGATGCTGCAGCACTCACCACTCTGATGATGACATACTATAAAAATACTGTAATTCTTAAAGCAATTAGTTCACCTTAAGGTTTTACAAGAAAATCATTAGCATACCATGTAGTATGTTTAAAAGTTTATTTTTAGGAGACGGGCAGGTTGAGTGGAGTAGTTCACGAAAGCAAATAAATAACAATGGTGTTACTGTAGTTCCAAAAAAAATGGGGGACATAAAATTATAGTAACAACTTAAAATTCCAAGTATCAGTAACAAAATTTATAAGAATATGCTGGTAAAATATTTAATTAATGGAAAAATGTTATAAGTTAATCTATAATCTCATAAATAATTTCAAAGTTAAATACAGAAAATTTATTAGGCTGTAAAACATCACCCATAGCTAATAAAAACAGTAGGCTGAAAACAGAGAAACTAAATTAATTTCCAGGTTAGTAATTACAATATATAAACTGGGTTAATCTCCACTTGTAAATGGGGTTGATATATCCATTGATTTATTCTTGAAAACTAAAAATCAAGCAAAAAAAATTGCCATTCTTAAAAACTCTATAGAGTCCAAATACTCATTTATAATAGTGTTGAAAGGGAAAAGAAAACACACACTCAAAGCCAAAATTTCTATTAAAAATCTGCCACAGGAAGGCACCATATTGAAGGCAGACATAGTTTCTCAGTAAGTCCAACTGCAAGCTATTACTCTGTTGAAACATATTGTTGTTTCTGCACTTAGACAAGATATGAAGCAAGGGGCATTTTGGAGGTCATAATGAATGGAAAAGAACAATTTGTAGGTTATCACAAGGTAGGCAAAATGCTTAGATAAACCAAAGGAATAGCAGGTTCTTATTTCTGTCTTACACTCTGGGGCATATGCTCATAAAATTTCTCTCTCTGTTTGCTTGACAAAACATGTATAATTAAATCCAAAAAAGCTAAATGTGCTTGTAACACTGTATTACTCTTATCCTAGTAAAGCCCAATTTATTTTAAAATTTCTTAAAAATATAGTATTAAATTATTATGAAACTCTGCCAAAATGTGAGCAGCACATTCCACAAACTCATTCTGGAAACCACAGCATATGATGTCCTCATGAAGGATAATGTTCTTACCTTGTTCTTCACTTCCTTCCTTACAAAGACTAGAGCTTTGGCCTAGACTTAAACTGATATCATCAGAAGTCTTAGCAGTGTCTGTATCTCCTACAAAGTTAAAAGAAACAAGTGAAGGTATATTAAAAGTAACAGCTATACAATATGCCATAACAAGGAAGGACATCAAATAACATAGTAGATATCTATCAATTAGCAAAAGCAGTTTTTTACATCAATGTTACAATAATGGATGATACACTGAAATAATAAGAAGTATCACGAGTTATCAGAACACGTAATTAGTCTCATAGCACTACACACTACTACTTTAAAAAGAAGCAGTTAAAAAATGGAAATGTAAGCTATGGAACACCAACTTGAAGCAACATAAATTTCCTTGCCATGGAAAATTAGTAAGCTAAAAAATTATAGGGTAGGTACAAATTTATCTGAAATAAATTTATAGAATAAAGCCACGTATAATACATTTAGAAAAAAATTGTTCTCTTTTTAGTCTCTTATTTGTAGGCAATTTAAAGGTTTCATATTAATTTACTTAGTTTTCTATAAACCTTCCAAAATCCATCAAAGTATTTTCCTTCAAAGCAAGGATCTTATAGATTAAATCTTACAATTGGTGCAATGTAATGCAAATGGTCAAATACTTGTGTGAAATTTGGTTGATGAAAGGGGAAAAAATTAAATCAAGTGACCTTTAATATTAGATACATGATTTTAATCCACAAAATAATTTCAAGAACAATTTTTCATTACATTTATGTGTGTGAATGAGGTGTGTGTGTAATACTCAGTTATCTTTATTACAACCAAAAATGAGGTGGAAATTCTGGGGCAACTTTCAAGTTAGATCACATCTACCTTTGATAGTTGCCGCTGTCCCAAGCCGAGAGGAACCAGATCCAATCTGAAAAAAATTAATAAAACTAATTGAAATGTTAGCAATGACATTATCAATGTAGTCTAGGAAGACTATCAAACAAAAGGATCATGTCATTAAAACACATCATTAAACACCTTTATCAATAAATAAGGAGAGCCACTGGGCATGTTACATCAGAGCCATATAACCTGTGCTAGGACACATGATCATATGTATTACAGATGTACTGGACCACTGAATCTTTCTGCATGCTCAGGACTGATAAGAGCCCCCATGGCGGGATGCCTCCAATCCCAAAGAAGCTGTGCCATATAACTGTTTAATTGTTATTTGTTATATTACATCATGATATGTTCATGTCACAAACAAAAGCGAAACTGGGTGTTGCATGTATCTGAAATAAATTTAGACTTATCAGGGCACATGGGGGAAGGTTTGAAGACAAAGTGACAAAACATATTAATATATGCTACAAAGAAAAACTTAAATATTACTGTCAAATAATGTATCAATTAAAAAGTACTTCTCTGTAGACTCATAACATATTTGAAAAGAATAAAAAAAACTCAAACAAAAATAGCACAAACCATAAACAGAACATAAGCCTTTTTAGTATACTTATATTTAAGTATACTAACATGCCTCTAAAATTTCAGTCACATTTATTTTACTAGCATAAAAATCATATAGATAAATACTACAAATTCTATGAACACAATAAGGAAACCAAGTGGAACAACATGACAGTTACTAAATTAACAAAGCTTAGGAACTCTGTATGTAACTGATTTCAGTGAATACAAGACAACAGTCAAGTAATTTTAGTATCCTACAATAGAAGTTAAGAACAGTCATATAATATTTTCATATTTTACAAATGATCCCTTTCACTGATTTAAAAGGCGTACACAAGAAATCTGCTCAAAATATAGGTTAATAATGACTTTGAAGGGGCACCTGGGGCTTTCTTGATCTGAATGGCAATTAAACGAGCATAGACTTATGTAAAAATCCACCAAGCTATACATTTAAGATGTGTATATTATGTTGTACAAAAGTTGTATGTCAGAGAAAAAGAAGTGAAAATAAGCATATGCATACAGGTTAAAATGACTAATTCCCTTGATGTAGGCAGTAAAATAAAGGTTTTGTAATATTTTTGAACTGTTTATTAAACTTGTTCTTGAGGAAGCTGGTTTTTCCTAATTTGTTTTCAATTAGCCATAAAAGGCACTGCAACTAGACAGAGGGAAAAAAGGTCAAAAGAGAATTGGTAACAAGAGCTGAGATTATCACTTTCAAGGAGCTCACCAACAGTACAGAATTTTCACCAATTACGGTATGTGCAGCAAGTGTAGCAATAACGATGTGAAGCACTTCCTCTGTTACAAAACCTATGAAACTAAGACACCAAATTCAAGTTCCACAATAGCCTCTAGTATTTGCCCATTTTTACTCAAGAGTTAATATTTTAAGGAAAACCAAATTAGGTATACTGAGCACTTATATATACAGATACTCTTTAATTATATTCAGAATGGGACTCCCTCTCTGAAACAAGTAGGGCAAGTTCCAATAGACAGAGTTTCCAAAGGTAGCTGGCTACTTGCTGTGTCCCTTTACCTGTCTCACTGAAAAAATGAAAAAAAGGTATGGCTCTTCAAAAGAGAACTGGGAAAATATAGGCTTACTCCCCAGGGTATCTGACATTGCTGACATTTTCCAATAAGAAGAAAGGCCATGGCTAATAAAGAATAGAAAGCATGCATCCATATTTAAGAACTAAGTCACTTCACTCCATAAAAATAGACCAAGATAAGCACAAGGCCAACAAAAACAGGACCAAGGATAGAAAGTGTTCTTCAAATCAGCATTGCAAAATCTGAAACTTAGAAAGTATCAACCTAATTAAAATGTCACAGTCCTTTTTCCCAATGTACTTTAAAAAAAATTAAATTAAAAAACATCTCTGACACTTCCCATTCCATCTGCTTGTTATGGAAAGAAGACAAATTTAAAATTTATTTATTCTATACTACATGCCATCACAACTGAAATTTATCAAAAATTCACCCACGTGAAATACAATTCCAATGGAGGCAAATCTTCCATCAAAGTATAGTAGGAGACAAGATTCTATTTAGGATTTTGATTCACAGAATATGGTGTTTTGCATAATACTGTTCATGCTGGGCTAGGAACAGAATACTGAGGGGCAGAGTTAGGAAAATTAGGTATTCTACTTACTGATTAGTTAACTGAGAGTTAAGTCTGATTCCACCTCAGATTCTTATTATCTATATAGATAAGGACAATTAACAATCATTAACTGAAAGTCACACATGAGACAGTATATTAGATTGTGGGGCAAAGAGGAAAATCTACTCTTGTAGACTTTTATAAATTGCCACATATCGTCATATACCAAAAAACAGTGTGCTCAATAACTACCACATAAGCGCTCCATCCACAAAAGAAAGCGGTAACATCATAACATCCTTGAAAATAGTGAGGAATGGGGGATGGTTGAAACTAGAGTTAGGTCAGAAAACAGATGACTAAGTCTGGAACCAAAAGGAGGAATGGAGGGAAGAACAACTTCAATTCACACATGGTGCCATGTAACAACAGGAAGAAAGGAGTGAATACCCAGAAATGAGGTTCTGCCTACACCCTGATATAAATCAGCTGTGTCTTCCCCCATGTAATGAAAGGGCTGGAATTAAAATCCACAGTTATTCCAAATTATACTAGGAAAAGATCTTTAAAGCTTCTTACTAAGTTTACTGTCTTAAACTTAGAGAATTTTGCTCAAGCAAGGGATATAATCTGTTGAGAAGGCAAGCTAGAATAACTGACTTTGATTAGTGTGGCAGATGTTAAAATGAAAAAGAGAAATACAGCAGCAAAGACAAAATGAAAGTACAGCAGCAGACTTCAAATCTTGAGTTAATACTTTGAGAGTTAACTTTTAAGTTTCAGAAAGGCATTAAAACTGGCAAAGCAGATTTATATTCTAATTCAACCTCTACCATTAACAACTTGAACACTGAGATCTTGAGGAAGTTTTTATTTTTCTTTTGCTATGCTTAAACTAAAGATAATTACAAACTTCTATACTCCTCTCATATAATGGGGATAATGTGAAGATAAATAAAACTGTGCTAGCTAGAAGCTAAGTTTTCTAGGGCATTCACCACAATGGCCTTCATCAAAACTATGCCCAGGAAATGAGCATGTAGTACATTCCCAACAAAAAAAATGTACTTAACTAAAAATCATAATATTAATAAGAGATAATAAATGGGCAAGATGAACCTAAATACCAACTGACAAAGGTAAGAGAATACCTGAGACCATCAGGAAGAGGGAAATACACAAAATAAGGTTACACGGATTCCTACCTGGTTATTTGGATCTAGACCGGCATAAGAATTTCTTGAACTGCAACCAACTGGGGGTGTGGCCTCTCGAATGAACTCAGACATTTCAATCCCTCCACCAGGATCACTGTGGGGGAAAAAAATGAGAGAAAGAAAGTAACTGTCATGTTTAGGCTTTTTTCAAGTAACATTTTTTTATCTATAAAACCAAGAGGTTCAGATATCCGACAGGGCAAACAGCAAAAAAGAAAAAAGAACAATCATCCTTCTTTTATAATCTGATAATTTAAAACATCTTAGAATCATATCACTACTTGAAAATATTTAAAACTCTCTTCCAAACTATCTACATCCAATCTAACATTAGAAACTGGCCTTAGTAATGATAGGATACAAAATATAGCACATATTTTATGGTAGGTGCCGTAAAACCACTCCAGCAAAGAAATGAGCTGCTTTTTGTTTCCCAAGAGCAAAGAGAAATTGGTCAATTGTAAACACAGAAAGTAATCAAACCTTAACACTACCTGATCTCTCCAAGAGCAGTCTAAGCCACGTGACACAATGACGAGCACACAAGAGAACAGTCCTCCCAGTCAAGCTACTACTTATAGCTATGTTTTTTCAAATTAACAGAATTTAACTGGGATACTAACTCTTTTTACAAAATTGGAAACTTAAGATTTTAGATTGTGTGTATTAAATTAGAAATCTTAAGTTAAAAGTATAAAATGATGCTATATAGTAACAACAGGTATTAGAAAGACAAAAGAGAAACAAGAATATACTAGGTTCAAAGAACTGAAGTTGCTCACATATAGTATTTAAAGATAATGGGATCACAAAATTAGGGAAAAGGATCACACCAAATCTCAAAAAACTTAGAGTAACTCTAGAATAAGGATCCTTAGAAATGTAATTTTTTTAATAATTCATATCTGAAAGTTGTAACACTGCTTTTTGCCCAGTTTTTCATTCATGCTACCTGGTATACAGAACAAGTACTCAAAATTTTTAGCTATTACCATCAAGGATATAAGCTCTAACATTATATCTGGACATTACAGTGGATACTATAAATATAAACTGTCTTGCCATCTAGCCTAGTTATCAACAACAACAAAAAGCAATCCCAAATTCTTCTGGTGAACTACCTTATCCCAAACTCTCACATGGTTTTGGATAATATTCACCTCGCCCTCAGGTTTAGGGGAGCTCTGCTGACCAAAGTCAACCCACATAACCAATCTCTCAGTCACTGACATTAGTTCTAGAACAAACACATGACCTAACTTTGGCTAGCATGAATCAGAGCAGGGGTACTCTATTGTCGAGAGAGGAAGTTTCTCTAAATCTGTTATTCTAATGGTGAGAACAAAAACTTTATATATATAAAGGGAAGAGCCTGTAAGAAGCCATCAAAAAAAAAAAAAAAAAAAAAAAAGCGCACACAGCCTGGTAAGGGAATCAGGGTAATGAGGTTATTTAAAATTCTGTATCTTGCCACATTTGAAGACATTCCTTCCACAGACTTTTCAGTAATGTGAGTCATAAATTCCCTTAAGCCTATTTTGGGTGGGGTATTCTGACAGTTAGACTCAAAATTAGAGGCAAAATAGGATTTCTTACAAGTATACCTTCCATTACTAGTGTGTTTATTGTTAATAGTCTCATAACTATTAAATGCTTGCTTAAGGGGTTCCTAACTCTGCATCACTGGCTCTAGTTAGCTAACTAGTGCTCAATAATGAAAATTAGCTTTCTAATTTGCTACCCATTTATAAAAAGAAAATATACTGGAACTCAGTTACAAATCTGATGGCCAATTCAATATACAAATGTCCACGTGTGAAAAAGTGGAACATACCAGTTTGTTAATCTCCTACGTATTAACTCATACAGGCTACATACGTCAGATGACAAATATATATTTTTTTGCAAAATCTTACACACACACACAAAGATGGCTATCACCATACTGAATTAGCGATGACTAATAACCAGAAATATTACTGTTAGCTCCACTAAAACACATTCTCTAAGTCATATTTCTCAAAAATCAGAAGCCCAAGAAGTAAGGTGAAGTCTAAGGTATAAAATATTCAATACTACAGAAAGAAAGAGAGCCTTCTCCTTGCCTGGTATCTATATACATCAGTTGACTGAAAATTCACTATCAGACAATTTATGTCTAAATTTTGCAATTCAACAGTCTATTGTGTTCCTGAAGTTACTATGCAATTGTTACCAATCTCACAATATTTTTATCACCTCAAAAACAAACCCTTTGAGCCATTACCTCACCAATCTTCTCATCCATCACCTCCTTCTCACTTCTCCAGTCCTAAAGCAACCACTAATTTACTCATTTTCTCTATACATTTGCCAATTCTAGATATTTCATATAAGTGGAATCATATAATGTGTGGTCTTTTGTGACTGGCTTTTTTCACTCAGCACAATGTTTTCAAGGTTCATCCACATTGTAGCATGTATCAGTGTTTCATATCTTTTTAATGGTTAAATGATAGTCCATTGTATGGCTACAACTCATTTTGTTCATCCATTCATCACTAAATAGAAAATCTAGTTTTATGCATCATTTCTGATAGTAAGCCCAAATGATTACAATCTAAAATTTATTAAGAATAAAAACAAATTATTTAATAAATATTAAATATTTATTAGATTCTAGTCATAGGGGCATGTGCTTCGTTTGCATTTTCTCATTGAATCGTCCCTAAAATCTGTAATACATTTGCTAGTATCCTTATTTTACAGATAACTAAAAACCAAAAGGTATGAAAATTTGCCTAACTTCTGAGAGGAATGTATAACATAAACTGAGTGACTGGTATACAGAGGTCATGTAGGTACTCGACACCTAACAATGTATCATCACATCTATTTTTTCTTCCCCTCTCCCGGTATTTAGCTGTTAACTAAAATTTCGTGGGATCAAAGCCCTCCAATCTAGTAAGGATTTAGCTTAATCAAAGTGGTCGATTTGCATTCAATTGATGTTGGATAGAGTCTTGCAATCCTTAGTTCTCAGGAGTTAAGTAAATTGTACTTGCTTAGGGCTTTGAAGGCCCTTGGTCTGGCGTAACCTAAACCAGGCCCTTGGTCTGGTGTAATCCCACTCTGGAATGTAGATACCACAACCTTAAGGGTTGAGACAAGATTTGAACACCAAGTCTATACAACTCCAAAGCACACTAAGACACCATTCTTACTTTTAATAAATAGGCACTGTCATTCTCTTCCCAGTTCAAATTCAAATGTAAACACTATTATTGAGAGCAGTACTTAGCCTCAGTACTACTGATACTTTGGGGCATATATTTATTGATTGTGGAAGACCACCCTGTGCACTGTAGGATGATCTAGAACTAGTGCTCATTGGTGAACACTGAGTGGGAAGGGGGTATTAAGGGAACAAAAAAGGAGGGGGTAAAAGGGACTAAAGAAGTAAAAAATAGATTTTAAAAAAGGAACATTTCTGTACTTCTATCTTCTCCACAAATTCAGAAGTAGAGCTTTTAGTTAGATGTTGGTGTTCTAAATGTAAACATATAGCATTAGCTAAAAATATTACTCAGTAAAATTTTCTTTATTAACAAGACTTGCAGATTACCAGCAATGAAGATTTCAGCACATACCTGGAAAGTATAGTGGTTTACAATTCTCACAGAAGCAAACTGGTCTACTGCAGTAAGCAATACACCAAACTCAGGGAATCTCTACCTTTATGCCTTAATTTCCCCATCTGTTAAAAAAAAAAATACCAGGTACAGGGAAAGGCAGAAAAGCAAAAGGGGTCTAGCCTGAATTACAAAGGAGAGTTCACTAATTTGTTGACTACTAGTATTATTAACTGCTCAGGTTTTAGTCAGAAACCTCACAGGACTATCATAATACTAAATTTACAAATCTTATCTAGATTACAATAATGTTCATAATAATATGAATAGCTAAAAACAAAGTCCCTAAAAGGAAGTTTATTCTCAAAAAAGCTTAGCCTAAAGTTCACCTATATTTAGTTCATATGGATCCATAATTTACATGAAAAACAGAAAATGTGGTGTCTCCAAAATAGTTGTTTTCAAATCCTAAAACTTAGTACATTAATTTCCTCTCCCAAAACATTACAAATGTAATACAAACAGTAGTGACTTTTTCTTCAAGACTTAAATCTTTTGAGCTGCTGCACCAAAGTCAGTGAAAACCATAAGGCTCACGCAGCCCTACTATATTCATTCATGCATGCAACAAATTGATAGCTATACTGTACTAAGTACAGTAAATAGCTCTGGAAATGAAAGTATTCATTTTCCTCATCATTTCTTTTCCCCAGAACAAAAACTGAAATTCACAAATAGGAAGGTAGGGGAAAGGCGATGTCAAAAGCAAAACCTACAACAAAGATCTGATTTAATGACAAAACTTAAAAACACTCTCTTTAAGATTAGAAAAAACGAAGCTGTACACCAACACTACTTCAATTTAACCATGTGCTAGAAGTTAGAGCCAATGAAAAAGTTAAACAAGAAGTATAAAACTAGAAAGGAAGAAATAAAACTGTCATCATTTACAGAAAATCAAGAAATAAACTTTAAAATTGCATCACCGATAAGGAAGTGTAATAAGACTACTTGATACAAAAAAAAAAACCACTACATTTAAAGGGAGGAAAAAATGGAAACAGCACTTATTTTAAAAAAAATTTATAACAGAAAAAGTATAAAATAATTTGGAATACTTAACAAAAGTGATGCAAGCTTTTTAATTGAGAAATAAATCTTTACTGAAAGACACTTATTGATTATAAACAGAGGAATCTACATATGCAATGTAATTATCAAAAAAAACCTAAGTTCTTGTAGACTTTTCCCAGCAATTTACATTAAAGAACAAAGACTAGCAAAGAACACTTCTGAAAAAGAACAAGGTGGGAGGTTTGCCCCACCGAATATCAAAGCAATTAGGATAGCGTGGTAATGGCACAGGAAAAGACAACTAGAACAACAGAAGAGAGAGCCAGAAACACACCCACCAAGACAAAGAGAGTGCTGCAGATCATCGAGGAAAAGAGTTTGTTTAACAGTAAATCAGTTATTAATAAAGAAAAAAGTCTCCAATTCCTATGTGACACTACATATTTAAATAATTTCAGGGAGAAAAGAAATGTAAAAACAAGGAAAACAAACTTTAAAAATACAATACAGGAGACTATCCTTCTGGTCTCCATGTAGGAATTAATTTCTTAGACAAGACACAAAAATGCTAATTACAAAAAACTATTAACTCATTATATTAAATTTAAAAGTGTCTGATAATCATAAGAAACCTTAAGGATAGCAAAATGACAAGGCACAAAAAAACTGGAAAAGATGTCTGTATTGTATATAACCAAAAAATGAGTAATGTCATGGTTAGAAAAAATCCTATTAATAAGAAAAAGATAAATTCAAAGAAAAATGAAACAAGGTGTGAACAGACATTGAAAAGAGCAATCAGAAGGTTTAACTAAAAATCACAATGAGTCTCATTTAATGCCTACCTGAATGGCAAATTTTTAGAGCTTACTAATGTCAAAAACTGAAGCTGCAGAACAATAACTTTTTTTTTTAATACACTAATGGTGAGAGTACAAATTAGTACAATCACTTTGGTGAATAGCTTGGAATTACCTAATAAAACTGAACATGAAAAATACCTATGGACCAGCTTAAATATACACATGTATACTAAGATGCACACAATAATATGCTATCAGAGCAAAAAAAAAACAAAAACAAAAACAAAAAAAAAAACTGAATGGCTATCAATAGAAGAACGGATAAATTGAAGTTTATTCCTACAGTAGTACACACACAACTGTAAATATAAACAATTGATAGCTATAAGCACCAACAGGGGTAACTCTATAAAATACAATAGTCTGCACAAAAAAAGCTCTTCATATAGAAATAACACAGTATGATTCTCCTTAGGATGTCCTAAAGCAGACAAATTAAATAACGCAAATTTAGGAATAGCTATAATGACTATGTAACGCTAAAGAAAAGCCAGGGAATTAATAACACAAATTTCAAGTGACCAGAACTGAAGGAAAAAGTAAAGAATGAAATGGGAAAGAAGTGCATGAAGAGATTTCATAATGCTATATGGAGAGTAATTAAGTACTAACTTGGTTACTATTTTCTAAATTATAAATATAAATGATGTTTTGGAAAGGTACTATCCTTCACAATAAAATAATTTTACACTAAAAGAAAATGGAAAATGACCAAATAATTAAAAATATACATGTAATATATATAATAACCAGAAATAATATGGACTAATAGTTCTAAGTACTTTACATATACTATCTCATTTATTTTTGTAATAATCCTACTAGAGCAAATAATAAGTACTATTATTTGCCTCATCACTCAGATTAAGATTCCAAGGCATAAAATGCTTAAGTCCTCCAAGGTCATACAATCAGGAAATGTCAAGCCCTGGCAATTTAAGATCTATATTCTGTTTATATAGAGGGAGTTTTTAAATAGAAACAGACTTAAGAAATATGCAGAAATCATTGAAAAACTAAGATTTTCAAGACAGAAAAGTCAATTAAATAAATAAATATGAACACCATGTATCTGGATGAGACCCCCCCCTATTTTAAAAGTTGCATTCTCCCCAAATTTAATACAATTATTGTCAAAATTATAATGAAATTTTCTGGAAGATGAACACACAAAGGGACATTGCACAAAAAGCTAAGTATATTCATAAGAATATTACAGATAATATTGAAAGAAAAAATTGAAAAGGGCTCACTTTACTATTAAACATACTATTAAGTCATAAAATATTAAGTTACAAAAAAGAAATGGAGTTCAATGGAGTAGAAGAAGAAGAAAAAAAAGCCCCCAAACTGACATAAGTATATTTAAGTATGCTACAAGAAAAAGAAATCATTTAAAATAATGGGGTGGAGGGTAGTGAGGGAGGAAATGCAATATTTACTTAGTAGTGTTGGGACTATGAAGCCTTAAAAAAACTACTTAGAGGTGGCCTCCCTGATGGCGCAAGGAGTTAAGCACTGCACTATGAAGCATTCCGCAGCCTCTACAACACGGGTTCGATACCCGACCAGCCAGGGAGATACCCACATGGCACAGCAGACCTCTCCTGTCTAGCCCGCTGCTCCCCTCAGCAGCATATTTCTGTCAGTCTGCCTGTTCTGTTCCCCATCCTGTTTCTGGTGGATTCTCCCACCCTCCTACCCCCACATCTCTGGCCTGTACCCCAGCTCTTGTATGCATAAATAAATAAATCTTTAAAAAGAAAAAAACTACTTAGAATATTTTCAGATTGACTACAATCTGAAGAGTAAAAAAAATAACATGATGAAAATACTGAAAGTAAATACAGGTGAATATTTATATAATTTGGGAGAAAAAAATAATCTCAAAAAACTTGATATCAAAGGTAGAACTAATAAACATTCATAGAATAGGCTACATGAAAATAGTGACATGAAAAAATAAAATGCCATAAAGTATGCGACAAAAATACATATTAACTAATATCCTTCATAAATATCTTCTCCAAATCTATAGCAAAAAACTAATCACCAACAAATATTTAATTCATAAAGTAACAAAATTGGCAATAACATGAGACAAATATCCCTATTTCGCCAGTAGTCAAAAAACTGAAATTTTAAACAAATTATCTGTCATAGTTTTGCCTAAATACTAAATATTCTGTGTTGTCAAAAGCGCAAAGCAGAAGTCCTCAAACCACTAATCACAGTATAAAACATAAAATCTTTGGAATCTATCACTGCACTTTATATTGAAAAACTTTATTTTTTTTTAAGATTTATTTTTATTTATTTATTTATTCATTTATTTATTTATACAAGCACTGGGTACAGTCAGAAGCACGGGAGGGTGAGAGAATTCACCAGAGCCACAGTGGGGAGCAGAGCAGGCAGAAGGACCGAAGTACACTGCTGAGGGGAGCAGCGGGCGGCAGGAGAGGTCTGCGCGCCATGCAGGACCCTCCTCCGGTGGCCGGGGAGCAGCTGGGGATCGAACGGGCGCTGCAGAGGCTGCGGGCAGCTTCGCAACCCAGCGCTCAACCGCTGCGCCACCGGGGAGGCCCCATATTGAAAAACTTTAAAATAGCTATAGATTTCCAATAATTCTACCTCTGCAAAATAATAAAAAAAAAAAATCAATCACTTAAAATTTTAACATCACAGTGATCTACCACTTAAGCTGAAAACAATTAAAATTACTAAAAATAAGATATCTAAATTATACAACAGCCACAAAGTGGAATAATGTATAACTATTCAAAGTAATACCATAGAAAATGTTTTCTATGTAAATAACTAGTATATAACTGCTATTGTTCTAACATGTTATTTTAGTAATAAAGTTAAAGATACTGCTTTAACCCTTTAAATATGCCACTTAATTTTGTTGTGGTCTAATGTTACAATGGGATGAACCACCACTGTTTAAAGCCATATAAACAAGGCAACACAATAATTGTATTATTATACACACACACCATCTACATCTTTACAATGTAAGTGACAGGATTTCTTTTACCTGGGTCCATTGCTGTCTTTTCTCCTAGTTGAACAGTTGCCTTGTTCAGCTTTGGCTCGATGATCTGTGAAGTCATTTGCATTCCTATCTACAACTTCTCCAGCATCAAGTGCTCTGTGGAGTCGATAGTTAACCATCTTCAGGACAATGAAAACAGCAGCTATCACAGGACAATAAACTGCTACTATAATCATGGAAGAAGGAAGAGCCTTTGAAAGAGAAAATAAAGATACACATTTTTAAATATTTTATATTTTATTCAATTAGAGAAATCTATAGCAAAAATAATAAACACATTAACACACAAAACAACAATTACATTAACAGCAATAACTTGTAAACGTATAACACCGCACTGTCCAATACAGTAGCTACTAGTTACAAGTGGCTAGTGAGTACCTGAATTGTGGTTAGTCTGCATGAAATGTGCCCTAAGAATAAAAGAACTTTGGGCATAAAAAGAATGTAAATATTTAAATTTCACCAAACAAAAGGTCAAGAGTCAAAACTAGCAAGCTGACCACAGAACTGAAGCATACAGCAAAGGCAGGGGAGGGATGAACACAAGGGACTATGGTGATGGTTCACTAGTGATATGGTGGTGGGAGAACTATGGGGACTACAACAATGTAAGAAAAAAATTAATATAAAATAAAAATATCTCAATTTCTATATTGATTATATGTTGAAATAATATTTAGATTATACTGGGTTATAGTATTAAAATTAATTTCACCAGCTTCTTTTCACTTCATTTCAATATGGCTATTAGAAAATTTTAAATTACATGTGGCTCACATTACACTTCCACTGGACAGCACTGGTATACAGTCCATGCCAAAAAGCTTATAATACCACTGGAGAGTTAAGGTATCACATTACATAATACATATTACATAATACATAAATGTCAAAATTGTGATCCAAATATACATAATCCTTGTTTATATGCTCTGCATAAACATTCTGTATTCTAGAAAATTGGAAGTTAAAGCTTTCGTGAGAATAACCTTAAAACTATGACTATAAAACCAGACAAGGCATGAGAGACATCCAAAAACCAAATAAGTTTTATTTAAAAATACTTGAACACTTAAAATTTGTACCCTGACCAAAAGAAGAATAAAAACAGAACCAAGCAATAAATAGACAAATTGAAATAAGCCAGCTACATCCTGGCATCAGGATTAGAGGCTCATCATACTGAGGAGTCAATGATACAGATCTCAGTCCAGGGGTGGCAGGTTTGGAGATCACCCACCCAGAAGTTCTGGCCTCAGAGACATTGTTGGCAAAAGCACAACTGCACAGTTTTATGAGAAAAATCAGCTTGGATGTCTGTAGCTCTACAGTCTGCATGTTTTCACAAGATTCAACCTCAGTCCTCTGAGACTATGCCTCCAAAATTTGCTTGGAAATTGCTTGATATTGTAAAACTGAAACAGTCTTGGTGAAGCAGGTAAGTTTAGAACACATGATGAAAGTTTTTGGGTTTGTTTTTTTTTTAAGGTATTTGGGAGGAAGGAAATAGGCAAGAGTATGGGGAAGTGAATCAAGTCCACAATTTAATACTATTGTTTTATGAAAGGGCAGAAAAGGTATATATCTTAAGAAGTACTGCATATTAACATGTCTAAAAAATTAAACTTGTGATCCCAATTTACAATGTCACTGATTACTGATTTAGGCTTATAACTTTAAAATAAAAAGTATCTGAAATTTTATAAAACCCGTAAATTATCAGGTTTAGAAGAATTAAGTACTTGGAAAGATCTGTCAGTAAGTACTTAAAAATGAGAATTAAATTTATACATGCAATTTAAGTTAAAGGGATCTTAAGCTATATTTAGATCCCTCAAAATATATTTGAGGTCCCTCAAAACCTCTCAAAATGATTGCTAAAACTATTAGATTTTAAAATTCTAATTTGCTTAATTCATAGCTTTAAAACTAGTACATTGTGCTGGAACAACCTTTCAAAGCAGAACACACACACACACACTCTCAAACTGACAGAAATTTTAAAGTAAACACAAGTGTAAACACATGAACACATATGCTGCTTAGAACATTTATAAATATTCTGCATGATGCCAGTTACCATAATATGTTCACATAAGAACTAGAATTCTTGGGGATCATTTAGTTCAATACCTTCATTTCCAGACACTGAGACTTGCTAATAACTGTGAATGACAGCCAAGATCACGCATCTTAATAACAAAATTAAGAAGGTTTATAATGCCTATATCACTGTTTTAGTATATACTATACCAATTCCATTTTCAAATGCAAAGTGTAAGTGAAAAATAAGTCAGAGTTCCATCATTACTCACAGTAGTCCACATTAAGATAAAAATAATTGATTACATTAAGTGGATAGAAAAAGAACAGTCTCAACATTATTCAGAATGGTAGACAAATTCAATGGGAATGTTAATGGCCCTTCCAAAGGGGAAGAGATAAAAGAGGCTACTGAATATTGAATGATCTATCACATTTGCCTCTATAAAAAGATTATGAATGTTTAAAACAGATCTAAATAAACTTACTGAGACTATTATATTGCTAAGAGTAGTAGATACTGGAGTCCCAAGAAACACATTAAAATATACACAAGCTATTTAGTAAGCACAGAATTCCTTTTTAAAAAACATAAAACAATGGAAAGGTTAAAAACAAAAATGTAATAGTCTATTTCATGATGAACAATCACAGTATCAGATGATTAGTACTTATACTTTCTATTCACACTATAAAAATTACCTCTTTATTTCATACTACGTGGTTTAGATGCTTAAGCCCTGCCAGTAGTTACCCTTGATGTTTCTAGGTGGCAGAGGACAGCTGGACTATAACAGTTTGACTTCTCCCTTCTCCCAATAGGGGTAAAATTGCACAGACACACACATTTTCTCTACTTGTATTACTTCATTGCACTCTGCTGTTCCTAGTGCAGCTGATACTAATAGCATTAAATCACGAACAGGTCATAATCCCTCCCTGTATCTGTCCCTCACTAATATTACAAGAAAATTTTAAATGGTAACTGCCTTTACATGGCTTCAGTGGCCTAGACAGGCACCTATTCTTCAGTTTTATGAAGTTGACAGTAAAAGGGCAAACCAAGTAGTATTTACTATTTCCTTTTATATTTTATTAAATTACATCTACCAATGATGTGCTTTCAGAGAAACTCAGAATTCTATTTAGCAACAAGCAGCAGCTCCTGGGAAAGCAAATTCTTTCTTTAAAGAAAAAAAATTTTTACAAGATAAAGTTGCTTATTTCTCTATTAAAAATACAATTTTGTATCTCACTTAACCAATTCTCAACCAAAATACCTGTTTTGAATTTTTGTGGCAAGTACTTATTTATGTTCCATTAAAAAAACCCAATACTTGGAAAGTACTAGTATTTCCAAAAGGACACACCTCATCTTCATAAGTTATAATATTTTAATACAGGTGTCACCTTCAAATTAATGCTAATACAACCAAGCATATTAACTGCCCTCTGGTAATAAAAGCCAATCTCTTTTGTCTTTACATAAATGTCTACCTATACATATAAATTGCTCATAGAGAAAGGTTGGCTGTACTTCTTTCCTAGGATACCACAATGGAAAGTGGAGAATGAAGGTGTCACAGGTGGTGTAATACTGATGGACAAACAAGACTCTCATGAAATAATCAGAAAGGTCACAGCACTAGAAGCTTGGACCAAGACAAGAAGAGTCATCACTGACTTCCAGAACTTTTCAAATACATTTTAAACAACTATATATCTTATAGCTTTCATATATCAAAGGCTTATAACATTAAAACAGACAAATTAGGTATTTTTCATTTCTATTATGCTAATCAACTTCTTGGTTTTGAGTTTTGCTTATTATGTGGCCACACTCAGATATTCAGACCAGTTCAATCAGAAATCAGCTGTTTGTAACTTAAATATTAACAAAGTGGCAGAGATCACCCACAACTGGAACTACCCCCACCCTCTGACACACACACACACACACACACACACACTCTCTCTCTCTCTCTCTCTCTCTCTCTCTCTTAAATCTTTTCTTTTTTTGTCTCTAAGTTTTTATTTATTTTTGCATAGAAGAACTAGGATGTAGGCCAGAGATGAGGGTGGTGAAAGGACTCACCACAGACAGAGTGAAGAGCAGAACAGGCAGATCTACTGAAATACACTGCTGAGGGGAGTAGCGGGTGGGATAGGAGAGGTCTGCTGTGCTATGTGGGTTAGCTCCCAGGCCAGGGACAGAACTCAGGCTGCCACACTACCACCACCATGGGTGACCAATGGTGGTAGTGCTGAGACTTAACCCCTATGCCACCAAAGAGGCCCTAAACAAATCTTTTAAATAATTAATGCAGGGCTTCCCCGGTGGCGCAGCGGTTGAGCACTGGGTTGCGAAGCTGCCCGCAGCCTCCGCAGCGCCATTTCGATCCCCGGCTGATCCCCGGCCACTGGAGGAGGGTCCCACATGGCGCGCAGACCTCTCCTGCCGCCCGCTGCTCCCCTCAGCAGTGTACTTCGGTCCTTCTGCCTGCTCTGCTCCCCGCTCTGGCTCTGGTGAATTCTCTCACCCTCCCACGCTTCTGACTGTACCCAGTGCTTGTATAAACAAAACAAACAAGCAAATAAATAAATAAATAAACATGAAAAAAAATAAAAATAAAAAAATAATAAATAATTAATGCAAGGCACCTTTTGTGCTTGTTTTTTCTCCACACAGCAATTACCTCATTTAAGGCAATGTTTACCAAGCTTTTGACAACACAGTTTTAATGGGCATTAAGCAAACATGTGAACTGTATTATTTTAAGTAAAGATTCATCACTGTTAATTTCCTAGATGGATTAAAGACTAATGTAAAGAGTAAAACCTTAACACTTTTAGAAAAAATAAAAAATATATCTTTATGACCTTAGGATAGGGACAATTTCTTAAGTGTGATTCTCTAAGTGCACAGTACCAAAGGACTGATGAATTAAAATAACTCATTCTTAATCACAAATACTACAAATTGAAAAAAAGCACAAGCTATATACAAGAAGACATGTTAACATACATAGTTACTATGCACATGTGCACATATTTATATATGTGTGTATGTAAAACTTCAAAATCAATAACAAAAGGCAAACCAATGAAAATAAAGGACAAAAGCCAGACCTTACACAGACCAAAC